TTATACGTGTTACACGAGCGTTTAAACGGCGCGATAAATATTATTAACACGTGGCACGCACGTTACATCACGTGCCGCGCCACGTTAATTCCCGCCCCGTCAGGTTCCGCGTTTCCCGCGAGACTCACGAAAACGCGGAGGCCCGCGATCGTTTTCGTTCGCGCCGCAACAAAACGACTTGGACCCATTAGCGTCCGTCTTACTAATAAATATTGGCATCGCTCGCTGCCAACCACTAAGACTATTTTCTACCAGTCATCGTCGTTCCGGTCTTCTTTTTTTATGTATTTCAGACGTACGGGCGTCGAAAAAGAAGCGCTCTGCGGTAACGAAAGTGAAAAGTTCCCACCGTGCGAACGTTATGGCTTTAAGACTCGGTCAAACGTGCAATGTCACAATTAAATCACTTGGTACTCTTGACAGATCTCAAGTTTACTTCAGTATCAATTCTGGAAAATTAACCCCGAGGGGTAAACCGCTGGCCAAAATCATGCACGCCGGTGCCTACGCCCAGTGGGCATTACTTTATCTTGTTTTATCTTACTTTATTTTTATAATGCCCCAGCAAGGCTTAATGTCCAAACTAATGCCCTAAAAGGCCTAGTAGTGCTCAGTAATGCCGCAAATCTGTACACCACAATGCCCTCGGCGGTTTACCCCTCGATTAACTTGTCAATTCCTAACTGGGGTAGATACCATTGGTATACTTTAATTCCTAACTGGGGTAGATCCCAGTTGATACAGTTTAAGTAAAATTTCTTTGCAGGAGTGCATGATTGGGAAATTGATCGAAAATGATAAACTGCCGATTACGGCTGACATTGCAAATGTATATAAAACAAAAAAATTGAAAATAGGCCATCATTGAGTGCTGAAGCCGTAACATAGTGTGTTACGTTTATAAAATATCCATTATAAAATGAGGGAGAAATCACTCTTTTTTTTTAATGCTTAAAATTTCAATTATTAATATTTTTGAGCGTGCGTGAAGTAATGAAAAGCCTTTGCACCTTACATTTCACAATTGTTATTGAAATTGTGCACAAGTATTGTTACTTTTATAAATTTTACTCCGTGAACTTGTCCGCTGTGAGTCCCATTTAGGACACTGCACAAGTCACGTTTGCATCAAGAGTTTAACGTTTAATTAAAATAACTTTCAGTCGTGCTCTCGTCGCTTGCTAGTTTGCTCCAACAAATACGAGACGTAAAAAGTATTTGTTCGGCAAGCGTCTATTTACAATGTACGGAGGCGGATTTATTACGGCATGCTCCAGCATCGTAAAATACATAAAATCATATACGGAGTCGGTCGTTACCTCCCTCGTCGAATCTGTCGGCGGCGAAGCGTCGAGCGGTTGTTTAACGTTGCAGTGCCAGGACGAAAACATCGGCGGAAAAGTTTCCAAGCGGGGAATTTATGCCGGGAATTATGCGGACGGACGCGCGAGGACGGCCGTGAACTCAAGTTCGGATTATTTGCATCGGGTCTGAAGGAAGAAAAGACGCCCAGTCGTCCAATAAAATACACGGCTCTCATAACGAGCTCGTGGCGAAGTCGTTGCAGTTTCCCTGCAGACGTTTTGACCTCCTTATCGAGCCCTCGTCGCGATAGCCCATATTTCGCACTGTTAATAATCCTCACAATTCTACCTACGAATTTTCTAACGGCGCCTGAACTAATTAACAAATCGGGAGCTGCGCGCATGAAAATGAGCGAACCATTGTTTTGGTGAAACGTAATAAACCGCGCGCTTCCGCGAACCTCAATATTTTCCTTGAATAAACTTAATTTACAAAGCACACGAATTATATCTGATTATATAAGAAACCCATTATTCCAGTTTTAATATTTGTTTTATCACCGCGATTATTATTCCAAGAAAGATAACGTTACGCCGAAACGGTAATCTGATTTGCCGCAGATTTGTAAAATTTCCTTTGCGGAATTTTCGCGTGCGATATTTAACTCCAGGTATTTCTACGTCAAATTAATTTCGTATTCAGTAACGCGTGATAATTGAAACGCCCATTCTGCGCTTAATCACAGATCGAAGGGCTGTCGATAAGCGTGAGATTAAATGTAAGCGGGTGTCGGCTGATAATCGACACGATTAATTCATTCTCGGAGCTTTCTTAATGAAGAGCGAAGCGATGGTTTAAGAATCTCCTTAAAATACGAGCCCGATCAGCTGTTTCTTTTGTTGCCTCGCACTTGTGCAACGAGTGCACTCTAAAAATCTCGTAGCCAGGCGAAAAATCTATTCCCGGCGTTGTGGGAGGCCGCTTCGGGATGCAATGGAAATTTACTTACCGCGATCGATCAACCCGGGCGCACGCACACGCTTAGTTACACTGATTTTAATGAGGCCGCGAGGAAGGTGTCTAATTATATAAACGAATCGCCGACGCGTCCTCCTTTTTATAGCTCCACCACGACAGTGATGATAATTACGACTGCTATAAGCGACAATGCGAAAGGCACGGGCGTAAAAATAGCACGCGTCGACTCGGAATTATTACATCGCGATTAGCAATTGCCCAATATAAAAAATTACCACCTACTGACAACATCTTGATGTCGCGGGAAACTATGGATACTGAAATATCTTATCAATCGACGTCCGTTTGAACATTTAGATGGGACAACCTATCGAAACATCTGTTAAACTATCAAACGATGCGAATTTATAACGAAGTTGCGGAGAATTGTGCGCACTGCAATTTTGCTTAAAAGGCGTCTTCTTTGTTTGTGACTTGTGTCAAAAAACAATTTAAAAAATTAAAAAACTGTTAACACCGATGTAAAGTAAGCAACGGACGAGATACGATCGACGAGAGATGATCTTTACGCAATTTCCGATCTCGCGGAATTTAGAGCGATCGAATTTACAACCTCGTGTCGTGCACTGCACGAAATTTAACATGCAGTTAAGTCGGACCGAAATACACACATCACCGGATAATAAAATAAACGGGCGAACGGTATTGTACTCCGAGATACTCCCGAAATTGATTTTGCTTTCCTAGGTAATTTGTTTGACTATATCACTCGTCACGGAACGCAGATGCTAATCGCCACCATCTGTCGGGGGCTTTCATTTTTAGACTCCAGCAATCGGATACGTAAGCTTCGAGCGAAATCGAGATATATTTATTGGCGAAATTAAATCGTACGATTGTTAATCAAATTTCTCCTATCGTTAGCTCCACTTCGTTTCGTCAATGTCGAATTTTATCACAGTTGATTGTTTTGCTGCCATCCGACGTTTCGCCCCGATTATAAAATAAAATTCGGAACTCTTTTATTTTACCTTTTATTTTACCGTTGGTATTTCACTCCGGTGGAATACATGAATGTTGACTAGTGCTTCCTGAGAAAATCCAGTTATTAAATACTTTGTTTATCTGTGTATCACGTTATTTTATTATTATTTCCCCTAGATTATTTTTGTATATCATATTATTATACTTATACTATGTAATGTTAAAATATTATTAATGGAGATACATGATTGTATTGTGTTTTAAAACTGGCGATTTAAGAAGTCGGCGCGCATACGCGGAAAAAATTTTTTTTTAATCGAACAAATTTTCTTTGAATTTTGTCCTTACTAGACTTTTAATTTCAAAGAAATGATTTTCTTCACCTTAACCAAAATCTTATTTGATTAAGACTGAAATTTCTAAGAAAGTTCATATCTATTTCTTCAAATCTAGCAAATGTTTTAGTAGAAGTAAATAAAAATGTATTAGATTTAAAGAAACTTGATTTCAACGTATCTCATTTGTTTAACCTAAATAAATCTTTTTTTCTGGGTGCAGTTCTCGTTTCGAATACTATTACGATATGTGGCATTTGGCACTAACGCATCAACGTTAGACTGTTTATTGCGATGAATATTACTAGAGAAAAGTTATCTATTGTGAGATAGGCTTCTAATATGAGATAGCAGGTTTTCAACATCAAAATTTAATCACAACTCTTATTCAGTGAATTGTCCACTAATCAGATTTCACGATGAAACCAATAGACGATGCTTATTAATTTAGCAAAAACCCTGCTATCTCATGTCAGGAGCTTATCTCATAATACACTGAGAAAAAAAGTCTTCGACAATTTATTTGTGGCATATAATGTTTATTTCACTGAAATATATGCCATATTTCACAGAAATCAACATTATATGCCACACATAAATTTTCAGACTTTCCTCTACATGCCTCGGTGGTCGAATTGGAGAGACGTCCGTCTAGCGAGAGGGAGGTCCAGGTCCAAACCCTGGCTGAGGTGATATTTTTCGCAATAAATTTCAAATAAGAATTATTTAGACACTAACATCCTGTCACGGCTCTTTAGTCTTCCTTCGAATTTATGTTTATCGCACGATAGCCTTAGGAATTTTATTAATTTGTTAAAATATTATGTTATATTATATTTCGCTTTATAACTCCGAGACGTAGGATAAGGGGTAGGATAAAAAATTTTCGAGGGAGACGAGGATTTTAGGGCTTTTGGCATTCTGTCTTGAAAATTTTCCACCCGACGTTTTCTCTAACTGACTCAAATAGCCCCGCCTTACCCTAAGTTACGTAAGGTCGCAACGTCGTTTGTCAACGTAAGGTCAGGGCTGCAGCAAAGTCGCGTGCCTTTTAAAATTTAGAGACACTCAAGCCTAACTCGATTCTAAAAAGCCAAACCGTAGATTGTGCCGAGTCCTGGGAAATTGTACGTAATGAAAAAGATACCTGCGTACATACGGCCGATCGTACGGTCGGGATCGAGGTGGACAAACATAGCTATTGCGCTGACAGAATGGGAAGATAGGCAGGATGTTTGATGTACGCTAAACGTCATTATTTATTCTGACGTGACGACGCGCGACCGCGTCGTTGTGGATTTGTCAACGGCGTTTCCGTCGTCACGCGACGCCAGCGCAACGTGACGCCCGCGTTATCTTCGTCCGAGGGGTACGGGCGACGCGAGAAAAACGCGGCGCTTCTTAGATGAAAATATACTTTATTACTATGGAGATTCCCCCGCACATAATGCGCGTGTACACAAATGGCCCTCTAGGGCCGCGAAGGGTCCATAAATTCTCCGTCTGGCCACGTGGATTAGCGACCCCGGCGAAACGTGTCCGCCGATTTTAATCTCGGGCTGCGGTACAAAAACCGAGCCGGGCGTTTTAGAAAAGTAGCGATTTTTCTAAAGGGAAACCAGCTTCCATTATCTCTAAAACGACACTTCCCGCAACTGAAACCCTCTAATTTATTATAATTCCATCTTTGAAACGGATAAAGAGACTTTATGGACACTTGGCCTATACAAGAAGATACGTAATAATGGAAGTACGTTTGGTAACTCTGACTAGACTTAACTATGCCTATAAATATTGGTCCGTTGAGGTAACAGGTTCGTAACGCGATCGGAGATACTTAGAAAATTCACGAGAATTCCCTCGCGAGGATATAAACGCGCCTAAATAAATAAATAAATAAATGACTACAACATATGTAACATGAATAAGGCAAAGTCGACTTGCGTAAGAATTGTCCCCTTAAATTTATCCTGCAACTACGTTGTATCGATTGCAACCGTCTGTGTCTACATCTGTTTACACAGTTAACAATCGTAATAATTGATATTCCACAAACGTTCGGATCAGCCGTTAAATCGCTGAATCGACAATGTTTCGCTCCCGCCCGATTTCGCTTCATTCTTGGACCCAAATGGCATAAAACGTTAACACTGATTCTCTCTCTTTCTCTTTTCCTTATTCAAGAATACGGAGATGTCTTTTAACGCAGTTTCGCGATGAATAGAACTCACTGGAAGTGACTTCGCAGTCTGCGAGTCATGGTTCGGTTGTATCTAAACATTACTCGGTCTATACAATTGGTCCCGCCGGCTGCGAAGAACGAGCAACTCGAGAGGTTGCTCGAGCTACCTACTTAGTAGTCGACGTTTAATTGATGACTGATAAAATTGCCAGTATCGCGCTGCCGTATTATAAACGACAGTTTAATGCGCGAGGCCCGAAACTCGATCGCCTTTCTCTTACCCGGTTGAATATAAAATCAGGTACGCCTAAGAAAAGTTCTCTTTTGTCAGGGGTCACGTTTCAACGTCGGACGAAATCATTTGTAATTTACAAACACGTTCCTTCAACGATTAACGTCGACCCGACGAACTAGACCGGCGGTCGATTGATCCTCGGAAAACTTTCGCTAATTGAGATCCTATCTTTTGCAATTGTATAATAATATCTGCCGTCCGATCGTGACGTAAATATTTCCAAGGTAGCTTTAAGTTCGACATTCCTCCCTATCATAGAATTCAATAATTCGCAACTTTTCCGCTCGCCGTTTGGAGGCTCGCTTCCTGCTTCCCGGTATACGCCGCGCGCAGAATGGTGCCAGAAGTCTCACCTGCTGCGAATGAGAATAATATCTCTGCGGGCTCTACGATATTTTAAACTAATTCAAAGCGGTGGATTATGGCTCGCTGCACCGTCCCGTGTACTCTATTTGCTGCAGAATACGTCGCGCTACCGGGGCGCGCTCAGAAATAAATATACATCCGCGCAGATTGATCACACGCAATCAAGTTTGTCATAAATATATGACGTTAAAAGAATATAATTAACACTTGTACCCTGAGATACGCGTTCATTCATAACATGTCGGGTATCTACCGCAAACACCCATGGGTTAATTAATGGGGGGAGGAAAGGAGGGAAGGTCAGGCATGTCCAGGAGAGCTCGACGAGCGATTCTCGCACATGGCACATAATACCTTCCTTATGGAACTTTTCCGATAGCAGCGACGATGTGGAACGATGCGTACGAGCGCAAGATCGATCCGCGAGTGGATGCGACCGCTAAACGTTTCATCAAGACGCACTAATAAAAAAAAAAATCGACCTTGACATTGCTGGACGACATAAAGGCAGCTTTTATGCATCTTTATATCCCATTACAGCGTACGCGCATCTTTCACTCATGAAGCGATACATTTCGTTCCCCTCGTAATAATTCTATTGCGCGCGCGACCAAAGCGTACACGTTAAGAAGTGAAAGAAACGTGTTATCATTCCTCGCTGAAACTCTCGTCCGGCCGGTCGTCCTCGTCGTCCTTGTCGATCGAGCCCGATCATCCGGGCGGCGTCTTCTTCTGCTTGGTGAGCTCCAGCAGCACCGGATAATGCAAATCCGGACAGTACTCCGGACTGTTCTCCAGCAGCTCCAGATGCCTCGACCACACCGTGTCGTCGTACCGTTCCGTCTGGCGCGCTATGAAGCCGCGTTTGATCGACGCCTCGGCGAACTTCTGGAATGTCGTGCCGCGCCTGGGTGCCATCACCAGGGCGACCCCGTCGTCGGTCAGCCAGCCGTAGATCGTCTCCACCAGATCCAGACGAGCGTCGTCGAAGAAGAGGCAGTCGGCGCTCAGGATCACGTCGTAGATGCCCGACGGCAGTCGAGCGTCTTCGTCGCCGTCGGCCGTCCGGGTCTACATCGAGAAATCACAATCGAGAGAGTCCGGCCGGCTAATTGTAAGACGCGCGATCGGATCGACGTACTCGGGGAAACTCGACTCGGAGTATTCGCGTATTTGCTCCGAAATCGCGTCAAGTCTGAAGAACGATAAGATCCGCTTCGTGCATCTGCGAGATGCGCGAAGAGTTTGGCAACTCGTAAAATCGGGAGAATCCGAACAATTGGTACAAATGTAGGACGGCCGAAGAACTTGTTTGGTCGGACAAAAAAACAGTTTTAACCGATGAAATAACTTTCCAACTTTTACAAACGACTTTTTTTCAGGTAATATTTGTCTTCAAAGTGGAAAATTTTATATCAAAAACATTATAAAGGAGCATATATCTTATTGCTGAGAAGAGTGTGGGGCTCTCGCGTGAGAAACGACTTGAAAGAGACGGATCATAAATTGCTGGATGTGTACGCCCGGTCAAGCTTATCCGCGATGTCTTTTATGGTTTCGGCTTGACAATAGAATAACTATCGCTCGAATATTTTTTGATATATCACTTAGATCCCACGGATGGATATATCAAATGAAAGCAATGATCTTCGGTATCGTGTTAGAAAGAAAAACTATTTAAAAAAAAGCGGATACATTGAAGACGTTCGATTTTTCAACGTCGAATCTCTCAGATAAATTCGATGGTGGTTTTCGCGTAAATAGATGAACGGAGTTGGATGATCGTGTCTTTTTTTTGCAATTAATCTCAGTCGATCGTCCGAACGATCTTCGATATTTGTTCGCTGGGGCAAACCCGATCGTTCCCGGTCAAGCGGAAATTTCCCACGAAAAAGATGTCAATTGCGCGGAACGTTGTAAGCTACCGGAAAAGCACAGAGGCTACATTATGGAGGCTACCGGAAATGGAGCTGAAGTTTAGCCGGAAATGTCCGAATGGTGCGTCTATATATCTGAACCGAGCATCACGAGGATCACGCACGGGAATTTTGCGATCCCATACGGCTGTTTTTTTTTGCGATATGTATCGAAAATACACAGGCCCCAAACATATTTTCTAGCCACTAGGGATTTTAACATTTTCTCTCTGTACGTATTATAAAAATACGTATTATAAAAATATAAAAATATTAATAATATCAGAATATAATAGCAAGAGTAAGGGCGTTAAAACACAAGTAGATAAATTTTCAGAGCCTTACACCCTCAGAAAGGATTTCTGTTACCGGGACAAAAAATATTCTTGACGCATTTATATTTTTTTGCAGCCTCATTTAGTGTAAAAATAAGACAATATCAAAATAAAATCAATAATTCTTATTCTCCTCTATCGAATTAAAAAAAAGATTGACTTACTATATTGAGACAAGAGTAATTTATATAAATGTAAGTTTACATATTCTTACGTTTTTAGTCTTTAGAATAAATTGTCCCTCCATCTTACAACGCACGAAATTGACACCACGATATTCGACAAAAGACGATACATACTACCATTTTATTCCAGATTTTAGAATTTTTCATTTAAGGTTAAAATATTCCTTTCTCTATAATGAATATGATTGGCGCTGTGTCGATCCTATTTTATGATACATTGAAGTGTAATAGCATTGGATCTGGAAATTTGTTTCTATGGGTAAGTTCGAGCTAAAATTAATTTCCGATATTAATTCAGCATCTAAAATCTGAGTTAAACTGTTCGGAAAGAAACTCAGACGTAGCGTAGCTATTTCTCGCACATATATCTTCTAAAATGTCCCATGGATAAGCAGTGACAGCTACATGATGGTACGACATCACGAAATATGCCACGATAACGTCTCTGTTACGTGACTCCAATAACTTAGCACGTGTTTCGCGCGTTCTTCCAGGGCGTCTATTTTACAGTATATTTCATAGATGCCTTAAGTTATAAAAAGGAATTGATCCGATCTCAATAGTTTTGCCAAACTCACGGGATCTTTCTTGTTCTTAAACTTTTCCGATTTCGGAGAAGTCGCTTTAAAAGTGCCAATTCTGTTATCGCGAAAGTACGAACCACTTTTCGGTCGCGCGATCACGGATCATCGCTTTCCCCGTGTCGATCGTCTATTCTAGGATCGCGATACCCGGGCTGCATTACGCTCCCCCCGGCAAGGCCTCAATTTTTCCATTCATCGGCTCGCGATGACCGCGATGACTCATTGATCGTGGCGACAAGCGGCGCATTGCTGTCGGGACGTGCAACCGCGAAACCGGGCGTGTCGATATCCGATGATCCGTCGTCGATTACGGTTTAGCGAGCTCGTCGCCGCCGTCCTCGTTACAAATGCGGATCACGCCACGGCCGGAGTTTACGAGACGCATTATTCGACCGCGGGGTCGGCGACCAGGTTGAATTCTGTGCCGCGATTAGCGAAATACGAGGCTGACCCTTCGATTCCCAATGTCGTCTGCAGACCCTCGGAACTCATGCGAATAGCATACGCTCGGCGTTTCTCTCGCACTGCCGCGATACATTTATCCAAGAGACCCCCGTGGCGTGGCCGCTGGGACTTTGAGAGCTCGAGAGAACAAAATGTGTATTTCATTGAAAAAATTCCAGCGCGTGATATTTTTTGTTATCGCACGAGTTGACGATAATTAAATTTTTCTAGGACTCCCGACGCGGCACGAACGGATTTTTATTTAACGTAAACGTTAACGTCTGCGCGGTGATAAGAAAGTTAAAAAAAAAATGCTTTTCTCATTAACGTTTTCGATATTTAATTTCCGGCCTCTTTGCAGCCGCGTGCCGTTGTTGAAGCATTCCCGTCACGTCTCGATATCACTTCGAGAGGATATGCTTTTTTTATACATATTTTATTATGCTCCCGCAGTTCTCTGTTCATAGAAATCACGTGGAACGTGGTCTATTAAAAAGCGAGGGAAACGCGTTTCATGTCGAAGAGATAAGGGGTGAGCTCGTGTATTTGTGACGTACAACTTCAAAGACGAAATAACGCGATGTCTAAATTTAAATGGATTTTTCTAGAGCACACTCCGGAAGCTGCGAAAACTATTAAGATAATTCAAGATATGATTCCCAAGCCGCCGAGCTCTGCAACGTTCGAAAAATCCTTTTAATCTTTCCACCCAGTCTCGCCCGTCTGCCGACACCGGGGTCTCAGCGCGCTATTTTAATAGTTTCAAGAATAACATCGGACTATCGACCGCTCTCTCAAGATCGAATTTGGGCATTCACCTTAACGCGGTTACCGTTGAACGCCGTCTGCCGAAGGGCTCTGGCGGCCTGGGCCCACTGAACGACCCCGCACTCCACCAGATGCGTCATGTCGTTTCGAGCGACGATGCAGCGCACATTGTCGACGCTGGTCACGTTGCCGTCCGTGAGGGTGACGGTGCTGGGATTGCAGTACTTGGCGGCGAGTACGCCGGCCAGGCAGCTCATACCGCCGCCGAGTTCAAGGACGTTCCGATTCCGGCAGAGGCCGCGATTCCTCAGCAGATAGTAGGCCAGACACTCCTCGGACGGCCACACGCACACGTTGCCGGTATTGTTGAAGCCGATCAGCTCGCTCGCCGTGAAGCACTTGCTTATCCTGCGTATCTGCACGTTGTACGGCCGGCCGTCCAGCTGGGTCGAGTACTCGCACCAGCTGGACTCGCCGTCCGCCAGCATGTTCTCCAGCAGCGCGCACTTGAGCATACCGAAGGTGGTGAACCGCCTCACCGACACCTCCTCGTCGGACTCGCTGCCGTTCGGCTCCGGCGAGCCTGTCAGCGCCCTGGCTAGGATGCGCCATCGACGCAGAGCGCGGGTGCTCCTCTTCGAATTGCGAGGGTCATTCGTCTCGGCCGAGAGTATCTCCCTGCGGGATAAAATCTCCTGCGACATGTCGCAATCAGGCACATCGATCGGTACTCGATAATATACAGTTACCAGGTTTTCTTCTCAGATTACAAACTCCCCGGAGGGAGCATCGTTTCTTATTATTCTTTCTCTTAATTTAAATATCAAGCTTCGGCTGCGCGATCGCGTGGGTGGACGTTCACCGGAAAGACGATCGTCTAATCAAGAGTATCCCTCACAGGGAAGATTGTTTCTTGTTATTCCTTTTCCTAATTTAAATGTCAATCCTCGGCTGCGTGGGTGGATGTTCGCCGGAAAGACGATCTTCTAGTTAAAGATACTCGTTGAAGGCTTTTGTTAGAAGCTTCGTCAATGAACTTTCACTTCGCCGCGCTGCTGCGAACCCGTGGAAGGCACGTGGGGGCGACGCGTGTTCCTCTTCATCGTTGGCGAACGTGTTCGCCGGCTCGGTCAGCGGATCGGGCGGAATCCTCCTCGGCTCCGCGTCCTTCTCGTACCGACCGGTCCAGGCACCGGGCGCATACTTCCTCTCTGACGAGACTCCGCCGCAGGGGCTGCTCTCGCCCGACAAGGACGAGGATGGACGAAGGGACGGGACGAGACTAAAAGCACCAAGTCAAGTTCTAACTCGCGCCACGCGGACGACGAGCGTTCTCCACGCGTTGGATCGGCGCCTGCGCGACTCCTCTCTTCGTTCCCTCTTCCTCGCGCTCTGATCCTCCTCCGTCCACCTTCCACGCCGTCTCCGCGGGTGTTCCCCGAGACGTCGTGCTCCTCGCGCGTGTCTGTCGCGCTTTCGCAAAGATGTTCTGGCGCGCCGTCGCTCGGCTCTCGTACGAGCTACGCGCGCGGCTCCGAATTAGCCCCGAGCTTTCCGGCATTCGAAGCTCAATGGCGAATCGGGCTCGATAGCGAGCCTGCGGTCCGCAGAGTCGTTGGACCGCGCCGCTATCAAGCGACATACGCTGACGTACACACGTCGAGACTTCTTGAGGGAAGCTGCGAAGAGATTTGTCGTCCGATCGAGGCCCGGCTATCGCGAAAATAACGTGGAACGTTATCGCTCGCGCTTTCCTTCACCGAAAAAATTGTATTCTTGAAATGTATACTTTACAAATCCTCTTAATAGAGATGTACTCAATGAAGAAGAACATTTCCTTCTTAACACCACGTTTTTTTAAATATCTTCTAAAGTTGAGAATATATTCTTAATATTAAAAATGTATTCTTTCTTCGCAACAACTTTAGCGCTGGAACTTTCCATATGCGCGATGTACGCCGTGTAGTGCGTCTCGGTACGTGTCAATGTAATGCCCTGCTTCATCACGTTTTGGGTATTGTTGGTAATTGCCATGTGGCATCCTGACTCAAATAATGGATGAGGAAGTGGTCGAGCGGTTAGAAAAAAATTTAAGCCATTTGAAGGACATATTCATGAGCAAGTATTTGAAATATAAAATAGAATAGCTCATGAATCGTGTTAGCCTTCCAGGCAGAATCTCTAATCAGTTTCTGATTACAGAAAATAAGGAGGGCAAGCTTCAACCAGTAATTAAACAAGTAGCTAAAGCTATAACTTGTCGAAGAAATCTACTTAGCTATGCCGTATTTATCCGTAGTTGTAATAAATAGCAAATGTTTATTTGTGCAACTATTTTTGTTATGATTAATGATCCTAAATGTTAAATAATATATGATATATTATTTTTATATTCTTACATATTAAGAATATCTAATAAGACTGTCCGATAAGAGTATCCTGTTTAGAAGATTCCTCTCTTAAATTACGACAATCCTTTTAGCGCTTATGTCAGAGTAAAATATTATAAAAGTAAGTGAAATATTCTTAAGATGGGAATAGAATTTTTTCGGTGTTCGTTACGTAGGCACAGGGAACTGTCACTGCGGTTTCACCGCGACACGATGTATCCGTTCGCGATCGCGTCGAGAGAAACGCGATCGCGACAATTACGTAAATCGAGCAATTCACGAACGCCTGCGAAACGAGCGGCAAAAATATAGGACACAATGCGGCCCGTACAGGAAATTATTTATCACTTCGTACTAATTTCGTGCTCAAGTACCAGTAACGTTTGTGTTTAAATGCATTAAAGCTTTAACGACACTCGCAGCATCGGCTGGCACGTGCCCGATGTTATAATTATTTCCCGCCGCGATCGTATCGTCAGGTTTATTTCCTATTTTTACGGCGCTCTTTCCCGTCGATCTCTGCTCAAAGCTGGCCGTAACTCGCCGATGACGGAACGCCGAGAGCGTGAATGCCCGACAGGTGTTCCAGTTACCAAGTTTTAATGATGCGCGGGGTTTGCTATCTATTGATAACAAACATAAACGAAAGTACCGTAATCCTGTCGCATTAAAATTTCTTAGGCGTCTTATTGATTCCTCACGGCTATCGTGAGCTTTCACGCCGGGTCGTTTGTGTCATCCTTAGTTTCTACCCGCTCCATTGATCCTATAACCGTGATTAAGAAACGACGGTGGCTCGAACACGTGGCGCGCCACGCTCCCTTCGGATTTATTATTATAATAAAGACAGGGAGGAAAGGACAACGGACGGTATTAAATACCGTTATAATATACGACCGGCTTATCCGAGCGTGTCATAAGCCTGGTTTCAACATCGCTACCGAAGATCTAGTAGCCAGTCGTTCCGCGCGCCGTGCCAAGGCGCAGACATTAAACTGTCACGAAACTAATGTTTAAATCTTGGCCTAAGTTTCCGGACGAAAAGCGTATCCGTAGATTCCCCCCCCCCTTCCCCTCCCTCGTCTGTTCACGCGATTTTGCGCCTCTCATAATCGCGATCGCGGTCTCGATCGCGAGCGAAATGGCACTCTGGATACGCTGCACGTTTATTTTCATCGTCAATAATATCGGTATCGCCTAAATAACGTGATATCACGGAATTTTTATTTATCCTGAGGCTCACGGAGAGAAATACCGCGCATACGCGCAATTCGTTTCCGCTATCGTACATCAAAGTTCTCGTTCGGCCATCAATCACAGATGTGTATCTGAATAATTCATTAAACAAACGCGATAGCGTGTGGAATTTCTAATTTAAACAATTCCCCTGTCATTCGAAGTTAAAAGCAACATCGGAAACATTGTGTATTAATATCTTCCACAGAGATTCAATATCGCGGTGATTTAACGCGAGCATTCCATGCAGATGCGAATAATAAAGTAAAATATGAATAATAAAGGGACGTACGTATTTTGTATATTACGGTTCTTGATTCACTTTAACCCCATGCAGAAAATGGCACGAGCGTAAATAATACAATTGTTAAATCTATCACCTGTACATTTTTATGTATCGCGAGCATTTAGACGTTCCCCGCAGTTCGACGGGCAAAATCCGAGAAGAGAAAGCTTACGGAGACTCCAATAATTCTTCGCGCAGTGACGAGATTTGGTAGAAAGCCAAAATTATGACAGCCGGAACAAATGAACATAGCTACGAACGCGCGTAAAAACGCTACGTTTTTTTTTCGTAATATTAATATTTTGAGCAAAACGGACGTATCAAGTTTTAAGGAGGCTGTAAATCAAAAGTGCTAAAAATTGCATACAGTTTAACACCTTTTATAGTTTCTTTTATGGTCTCAACGTACGAATTTTTTAAATTTTTCCGCCGATTGGTTTTTAAAAATATTTTCGACAAAGTACACGATTTTTTAAATTGAGACTCGATGCAGCAATATCAATTATCAATAAAAAAAATAACAATTAAAGAGAATAAATTTATGTTTAATATGTAAAGAACGGCATGTCAAAAATTTGTTCGAAAATTTGAACAATATGATCGTATTTTCACTGCAATACCGCTTTGCTGCAACTTTGTTAAATTCTTAGAAACACTAACCGGTGAAAAATCTGAAAAACTTTACATGCTGATACTATTTCTAGAAAAGCTTGTGTTTTAAGTTTTGTGCAATTCGTGGCATTTTCTAATTCTCTTGACGACCGCTTTGACAAATAAATTTAAACGGTAGAATATAAAAGTCGTACAGAACTAATATCAATTATTCCTATATGTAAAAATGGAGATACGCGTCACGGGAGATTGTTACGAGGAGGGGAAAAAAAACTGCACCTTCGGAATAAGTTACGCGCAATCAGCAGTTACCATTTCCGTCTTACATGGGCCCCGCTAATACGGTCGGAATTCAATTTCCTCGGGAGTATATCGCCGGGGCGGGATAAGCCTCGAAAATCGGTTTTACCATTGCTCGCTGAAACTAAGTTACTGGCGCATTCGCTTAGGCGTCATTCTCTCTCCTCGTGCGGCGATTATGCGGCAAACCATCTTCCAAGTGCTGAGAATAATATTGATAATAATCGCCTCTCCACTCTCGCGGGGACGGGGGGGAGCGGTAAACGCGAGGTGGAATTGTTCGTCGGAAAGACGATATCCCGAAAGAAGCGCAAAGTACATTCCTGCGTTTACAGGATCCCTCGCATCCCCGCTGTATTAACGCGGATGGCTCGGGTTTCTGGCTCCATTAGCGATTTATCCTGTCGAGGCACGCGTCAAAACGTCACTTGCCTAGTTGATTCACGTCCATTAAGCTCCCACCCCCGCTCTCAGCTTTTTAATTATTTGCGGCATTTTCTTCGGGATTCGGGAAGATATATTTATACGTCGCGAAGAGATATCGCTCCCCGACGTTTCCTGTCGCGGCGCGTCGAATTGGCCCCGTCGTAATTATAACGAAATCGAATTTTCAACGGTCAATGACACCGTTTCGAGCGAATTTGTCCGAGGGAAACGCGCGACGTGATATTGCACAATTTATTTGGTCGAGAAACCGGTTTATCAAAACTGAGAAGTGGATATTTAGAGTCGTCCAAAAAAAATCCTCTCTTTCTTTATCACGCGAAAGCAGTCGATGAAATAATTACGAAGCTAAACAATTGATTGTAAATCCATAGTATTTACAACAGTGATGTATAGATATAATGGCACTTATACAAAAAAATATATAGACGAGTAATGTCGACTGGACTTGATTTCTGCAAATTCTTACAAAAGATTTCAGATCAAGACCAAACTCACTCTATAGGCATCGCAATAAATACTTTGTGGCTCTAATTATTAATGATAAAAAGAACTGTTTAAATTCTTTACTAATAGTACTGAGCAAATTTGTGAAATTAATTAACCCTTAAGTACACTGCAAAACATGTCCATTCTAAATTCCGCGAAATTATAACGGAAAAAAGTGACTTTTCTCCACTTTAAGTAAGCGTGAAATTAAAGCGGAATTGCGTATACAGGACGTTGTCCTAAAAATAAGGTCCTGTATAAATAGAAGGGAAATTTTGCAATTTCTTAATTTTTTCCCTGATATATTGTAAAAAGGAATTTATCACCTGGAAGACAATATTTTATTAGACAAAACATGAATTCATCGTAGTCACATGCGGTACATTTACCGCGATAGTTACCGCGTCTATTCATTCCCATGCTCCGCAAAAATTAGCGACAAAAATATTAAATTTGATATTGAACTGGGTAATCGAGACGAAAACCGCCGAGTGTAACCGAGGCGACTGAAATACTCTAACAGATTGAGCGACAACAGAAAATCAGTTGCCATGGTCACGTAACTCTTGCCCGCTTTAAATATATGACCAAATCCTTTACAATATCCTTTATATTACCTGTCCCACTTATATGAAGAATTTTATATAATGAATAAAGTGTCGTGTTAAGAATTCC